AGAGATTGAGGAGCTTTAACATCCAAGTGGGTACTTAAAAGTGGCATGAAGAACATTGTCATTTATAGCTACAGGCAATTGTCAAAGAAAAAAAAAGGAAGGAATGAAAGACTTGGAGGAGCTAACCCACCAAAGCTGAGTGGACACAAAAAGCACAGTAGGATACAGCTTGTCCTCAGATAGATCCCAACTGTTGCTCTCTTGATCTTGGGCTTTCACCCCTAAAGTTCTTTCACTAAACAAGTCCCCCACATTCCACTTCTCTTTGTAAATGCCTGATGGCCTCAGCCTTAGAGTGAGTTGTGTTTAAGTCTCGGGACCTCCTCACACCTAGACGCCATCTTGATTCACCAGCATTCATGGTTCCTAACTGAAAATTTGGCAGAAATCAAGGATCCCCTTTAGACAAGACAATTTTCATGCCTGCAAGTTCCTTTTCTCTCCTTATAGGAGGCATAAATTCCAGGAAGAAGACACCTGATATGAGTTCTGTGGACTCACATTGCTGCCTAAATACCACAATTGAGATAAACTCAGTCTTGAGGCTGTGGTTAAGTGGTCAGACTTTTTGTTCCTGAACACTTTTGTATACTCTTCCCCCTTTTGTGGATACATAAGGCATCTCAGAACTGTCTGTATTTCCAGTCGCAGAGGATCAGAAACCCTCCTCTGATCCCTATTGAAACCTTTTATGCACTTGATAAACACACTGGTAAATAACTGGAAAAATACACTGAGATTGAATTTTATTTTTATAAAAAATTATAATATATAAAAAAATTATAATATCTAATCACATATATACATCTGTCTTTTCACTATTTGTATGTCTGGAGCCCTAGGAGTTAAGAAGAATGAATCAGATCCTCTTAACCTAAAAATACAGGTACTTCTAAGCTACCTAATATAGGTGCTAGGAATTGAACTTAGACTAGAACCCAATAGAGGAAGTAATGAGTAAACTTGTCAGCTCCCAAAGGTCATTATAATGCAGATTATTATGCACCATTACTCTCTCTATCTCCTATCACTTGAAGATAATGAAAGTACCCATTAGATGACAATGGATTCCAGCCCTATCTGAAAGAAGAACTTCTTGGCTGCTGACAGGATTCAAAGGGAAACTCTACAGTGCAGCACATACTGAGAATTGTTTTAGTGGAGGGGGTTAGGGGAAAAAAAGGATAATCAAACCTATTTTGATGGATTCTTTCTTTATTCTCTCATGTCAAATTCTCTAACTCTCCCACAGGCAGTATAGGATTTACATTTGAAAGAATTTTTTAAGTAAATGATAAAAAAAGTCATCTTGACAACTCACATGCCAAAAAATCTGAGTAACTTGTTACAAAGCAATGAAGCCACATTTTTTTTAGTCAACTCCTTAATTTGTGGGCTGTAACTTGCAGCAGCAAAGAATCAGTCAGTTTGCTAACAAAAGAAGTAGTCTTAAAGAGGATCTTACAGGAGTTATAAAACTGAACTGTAAGGAGTCTAAGAAAAATAAATAAATTGTGTACTATATTCTAGTATACAAAATTTCACACTAACTTTCTGTGATGGCAGTTGTAAAATGACAGGCTTTCTGGAATTGAGACTGCTTACAGTGAGAAATGTGCCCTAAATTCTTTAGTTTGGGTTTAGCACACCATAAATTTCTTAATACTAGCTTAGTCAACACTACCCAAGTCACAATAACACTAACAATATTTTAAATCTTAAAATGTATTTTCCACCCTGCATGTAATTTTAGACCACAAAAAATTTGGAAACCTGTAACTCTTTCCTGGGGCTATGAAGTCAAATTATTTTTTGTAGCCCTGACCAGCCATAACTTCTCTTCCTGAAGGGTTTCTGAAAAAAAGCTGCAATTATTTCCCTACGTTACCCATTAAATCTAGCAAAAGTGTATAGAAATTAGGTTACTTTGCCTTTTTAACCTTAGCTTAAAAACCCAAAAAGCTGTATATATACCCTTATAAAACAAGATTGTTTTTCTGGGAATAGTTAATCTTAGAACCCATTAGCAAGGAACCTGGTCTAATCTAAAACTACTTGGAAATTTTTTATCAGCTAATAGTGTACAGCTATCTTGGCATTTGGGGAAATACAGCTGTTTGCGTCTAACACTTGATTTGTGAAGTATTTTTTTTTGTATTCATTTGTATTCTTTACAACTCTGTATGAACTGTCAGTGATAATATTAATTAGAAAATACAGAACAAGGGGTCATTTTCTTAAAAGATAAAAATGCCCAGTAGATTGGGATGTAATTGTGAGATAAACACACTAGATATAAGCAGTGGAGGACTCCCTATATACACTAGGGAAAAATTGCAATACCACCTGTGAAATTACACACAAAAGAAAAAGATATTCTGGAGTCTCTAACATCATGGCCTTTCTTAATAAGACTTCTCTTTAGAAAATTTCTTCCTGCTGAGCTGAAATCTTGAATATTAATTGCCATCTGCTCTTCTTATGACATGGCTTCTGACAGAATTCATTATCTTTCTACACATCTGTTAATGAACTCTCCATAGTCTTCTTATTTTCAGTTAACACAGTTATATTAATGAGTAAAGATAACAAAAGGTTTTGTTGTAACCAGTCAGAGTCCAGTTGGATTATATTAGGAAGAGTTCCATAATTTGAGATGTGAGTTTTTCTTTTGGAATTATTTTTTGGAGATAGAATATTTCTAAATAATCTTGGCTATACTGGAACTCACTATGGATACTAAACTGTCCTCAAACTAAATGAGAGTGGCAGCTATCTCCCAAGAGCTGGGATTACAGGCATATAACTCTAAGTCCAGCTGAGATGTTTTTCAATGACCTATATTTGAATTAGAGAATTAAATGATAAAATAAAGATTTAGAAAGGATCAATCGATGTTCTAATGAACAATAATACTTCTTGAAACTCTATAACTTAAACTGGTAAATCATTTCATATGTTCTCAATAATTGGGCTATTTTATCAATTTCATCCATTTAAAAATGCTTCTACATGTCTATGCATCTATCATGATGTGTATGTGGTAGTGAGAGGAAAATTTAGTGTTATCTATTATCTACTTTTACTATGTGAGTTCTAAAGGTGAAACTCAAGGAGTTATTTCACTACAAGTGAACTCAGTGGTACTTATTTGATTTAAAAAATCATTTATAAATGTGCCTTTGTGGGAGGGAGCATATGCTACAGCCCAAGTGTAGAAAAATTAGAAAAATTTCTAGGAGTAATATGGATCTCCCAGAGATTTAATTCAGGTCATCAAGTCTTTTAAACAGTGCTTAGCTCTCAGAAAGAACTAAAACATTCCACAAAAAAGAAAAAGATAGAAATGTAACATTTTCATTTGCAATTTATTATTCAATTTGTCCTATTTTCATCTATCTTTCGACGGAAATATGTCTACATTCTGAAAAGACAAGTTTCCTGACATAATTCAACTAATCTTATTTGAGCATCAGCCAGAGAACACAGTGGGCAATTTCTCTGGTGTGTATGACTAGTAAGCTCATCTTGATCACCACATGAATAGAACAAGGTAGATTTCACAAAGTTGACTTCCAATCTCCACATATCTTTCATGGCCTAAAAACCCATAATAATGTTACACACATACACACACGCACACACACACACACACACATGCACACTTTAAAAACAATATCATTGTCATTACATTATTTATCATACTGGCTAATTCCTTTAGAAGGCAGAACTTCAAGATGAAGTACCAAATGGAAAACTGATGGGGACAACAAGATGCATGACTCTTCAAATAGTATATCAATAGAACATCAAGCAATGTTGTGAGATACAATGTAGGTTGCTCAGCTCATTACATCTCTACCAGATAGATGAAAATGCTGCTTTGGTTACACACATGAGAAATTTAATGTTTCTTATATTCTCTTCTATTAACCATTATAACATTAATATTGTTAAAATGTGTTGTATCAACAAAATGGCAAACAGTGAGGTTACATCACCTAACATTAGAGTTGTACTCAGGAGACTGACACATGAGGATCATGAATTAAAATACATACCTGACTATTTTCTGACATCCATGCTAGAATGGATAACAAACATTTCAGAGAATTTGTTTAAAAATATTAAAATTAAAACCAGGAACAATCCATCACCCTTTCACAGACATATTTACTTGGAAAGCATGATCATACACTACTTGTTATTTAAATAAAAATGGTTCACTTAGGTGATGGGTATCTCATTCTATACATTGAAGAAAAGGAAAAAAAATTATGGATTTTGGTCAAGTACTAACTGGAGTATTCTGTGAGGCTGGGTTATCTCATCCAATAATTTGGAGGCTGTTCTGTATGCAAAACTCAGAGAAACTGAAAAATTAGTGCTCTAAAACACTGGATCATTACGGCCACCCATTTCCACTGGAGATTTTTTTGGGAAGGTCTTCCTTGATCAAAGCTTATTTTTCTTAGCCTAGAATAAATCCACAGCCTCTCAGTTCCTGTGAAAACAAAAACAAAACCTCTTCTCCAAAGTAGCATATCTTTTGACTTAAATTACAATGTCAAGACATTTTCAAAATATATAGGTTGGATTAATCCAAAAGCATTTATAATTGTCTTTTAGCAGCTATTGCTCCTCCTTCCTCTGCAGCCAAACACTTGAAAGACAACACAATATTATACAGTATCCAGATTATCTGTGTATTTTCGATAATTATGTAGCTTCTTTTTCTCTATTTCTTTTAGTTTTACTTTTAATCTTTGGCTTTTTCCAGTCAGGGTTTCTCTGTATATCTTTGGCTATCCTGGATCTCACTCTGTATACCAGGCTGGCCTTAAACTGAGATCCATAATAATGTTTGAAGAGACTGTTGACTCTTGTCAATTTTTTTCTGCAGAGTAAAGAATCTTGTTTAATTGAACATAAGTGTGTTGGCTATAAATCTTACCAGATACTTTATATAGATTCCATTCAGTATGAGTTTTTTCCAATCCTCAAAGTATAATATGTTCAAAGACTTTAACAGACCAATTACACAAATTTTATTCTTGTACCACTACCATGACTTGCAAAACTTTACTACACTGACTACATTTAAAGGGTTTCTTTGTAGTATGATCTTTTATGATTTTGAAGATAACTGATATATGTAACAGCTTTATCACATTATATGTGTACATTTTTTCTCCAGAATATGTTCTTTGAGTACTCAGAGACTGATTTGACATACAAAAGTCTTCCCACATTGAGTACATTCATAGGGTTTCTCTATAGTATGTGATCATTCATACCTACGAAGACAATTCAGTGTACAAAGGCATTTCCAAATTGAGGGCACTCAAAGAGTTTCTCTCCAGTATGTGCCCTTTTATGTATTCGGAAACTGCTTTGAGATACAAAGGCTATGCCACATTGATTACATTCATAGGGTTTCTCTCCATTATGTGTTCTTTCATGCCTTTGAAGATAACAGTGTCGTGCAAAGCCTTTTGAACAATGAGTACATTTATAGGGTTTCTCTCCAGTATGTGTTGTTTTATGCCTTTGAAGATAACTATGTTCTGTAAAGGCTTTTCCACACTGAACACATTTATAGGGTTTCTCTCCAGTATGAGTTCTTTTATGTCTTTGTAGAACACTAGGATGTGCAAAGGCTTTTCCACATTGAGTACAATTATAGGGCTTCCCTCCAGTATGTATTCTGTTATGCCTATGTAGAACACTGGGATGCGAAAAAACTTTTCCACAATAATTACATTCATAGAGTTTCTCTTCAGTATGTATTCTTTCATGCCTTTGAAGATGACCATGTTGTGCAAAGGCTTTTCCACATCGAATACATACATAGGGTTTCTCTCCAGTATGTGTTCTTCTATGTTTTTGAAGACGACTTTGGCATACAAAAGCTTTACCACATTGAGAACATTCACAGGGTTTCTCTCCAGTATGTGCTCTTTTATGTAGTCTAAAATTACTTTGACAAACAAAGGCTTTACCACATTGATTACATTCATAGGGTTTCACTCCAGTATGTGTTTTTTCATGCCTCTGAAGAGAATTTTGATGTACAAAGGCTTTTCCACATTGAGTGCATAAATAAGATTTTTCTCCAGTATGTGTTATTTTATGCATTTGAAGATATCTGTGTTGGGAAAAAGCTTTTCCACATTGATTACATTCATAGGGTTTCTCTCCAGTATGTGTTCGTTTATGCATTCGGAGACTAGTTTGATATACAAAGACTTTTCCACATTGATTACATTCATAGGGTTTCTCTCCAGTATGTGTTCTTTTATGTCTTTGAAGATAACTGTGTTCTGCAAAGGCTTTTCCACATTGAGTACATTCATAGGGTTTCTCTCCAGTATGTGTTCGTTTATGCATGTGGAGACTTCTTTGTACTGCAAATACTTTGCCACATTGATTACAGTCAAAAGGTTTTTCTCCAGTATGTGTTCTTTTATGCATTTGAAGAATACTAAGACGTGCAAAGGCTTTTCCACAATGAGTACATTCATAGGGTTTCTCTCCAGTATGTGTTCTTTTATGCATTTGAAGAGTACTGTGTTGTGAAAAGGCTTTACCGCATTGAGAACATTCAAAAGGTTTCTCGCCAGTATGTGTTCTTTTATGTATTTGAAGATTACTGTGTTGTGAAAAGGCTTTTCCACATTGAATACATTCATAAGGTTTCTCTCCAGTATGTGTTCTTTTATGTATTTGAAGACGACTGTATCGTGAAAAGGCTTTACCACACTGATCACATTCATGGCATTTTGCTGTACTATGGTTTCCTTTATGTATTTGGAAACTATTATGACATTCAAAGGCATCACCATATTGAACACCTTCATAGAGCTTCTGACCACTATGAATTCTTTCATGTCTTTGAAGATAACTGTGATATGGAAAGGCTTTAACCCACTGAGTATATTCAGAAGGTTGTTCTGAATGACTTCTTTTATGCCTGCAAGGATAATTGGCACATGTAATATCTTTACAACATTCATTATACTGTTGAATCTTTATTTCTGTATGAACTGATTTTACAGTTTGTTCTAACTATAAAGAGAATTCAGATCTTAAGCTTTTACCCCTTTGTTTGCACTCATGTTGTTCTCCTTCATTAAAGACTGTTTTGCATCTTTGAAGATGCCTGTGATGGAAAGAGTATTACCTTGCTCACATTTATGGCATCTGTTTTCTCTATGAGATTTTTCACTTATTATAAGAGTACTGGAAGAATTCAGACCTTTGCCCCAATTATTCCACTGTTAATTTTTTTATATTGTAAGTCATACTACATTTGTAAAGTCCGACAGGAAAGAGAAGTTTACACCCATTCCTATGACTCAGTGGGCTTTTCTGCACTACGAGTTTGTGGATGTATCCCAAGAAGTTGGAAAACCAGTTACTTGTAAACTTGCATCACATTCAACAAGTCTACTCAACATGGGGACCACTACATATCTTCTCATTGTTTTGAGATGAAAAGTTATGTTACTTCTTTCCACATCCCTATGATCATATGGTTTCTATCCAGACTGATATAGGATATACCTATCAAAGAAAGCAAAACAAAAGATTTCCACAATACATATACACAATTTTGACTCTCTGTTTCTCAGAGAGAAATGGTATATTGGTTAAGGTTTCTCCACAACAAACTCTCTTAACTCTTAACTCTCACTACCCCTCTCACTGAACTTAGCTGTCACGACAATTATATGAGTAACCCTAGTTTTACTAGGGATTATTTGCTTATTTAAAGATTTTGGACATATAATTACCACCTTTTCAATATGTATATCTTTTATAATAGGAGTGGTTTCAAACTAAATGGATTGGAAGTTCTACAGCATAGCTCTGATGTAGCAATGATTCAAGCAGTAAGATCTGTGAAGATATTGTTTCCTTGTCCTACTTTTAATTGTTTTAGCAATTACTAGAAAACACAATTCACTTACTTGCCATTGAGACATATGATTTTGTGAGGATTTAAGAATCATTAATACACTTTAAACTGTCCTTACTTACACTGCTGCTTTTCTTTAAAACCTCCAGATATAATAAAATATCTTCAGAGGCACATTTGTATCAGCTTGCACATAAAAATTACCTTCCATATCTTCGAGAACTTTGACAATACTCTTCAATATTATGATCTTCCCATTTGCAGCCTAAAAGATAGTAGCAAGAAATGTATGATATGTTATTGAAAATTGGACATAGGTTACTATCTTCAGTGAAACTTAGAACTATGGCTGATTTATTCATCTTATTCTTCCTCCTTCTCAATCACAAATACTGAAAAGCATTAGTAAGCAAAACACAGTTGTTCCATTAATTTAAAATGTGAAGGAAATTTCACAGTATTACCTATAGCAGTGAGGTTCATATAGGTCTCCAGCATCACATCTTTGTAGAGATTCTTCTGGGAAGGATCCAGCAGAGCCCACTCTTCCAGACTGAAGTCAATATGCACATCACTGTAGGTTACTGTATCCTAAAATATGCCATACATGTAATGAAAATGGTAATACAATGTTGTAAATGTATACTTCTTTGACAATACAATCATATAATTCTGGTACTTACTAGATGTATCCTATGGCACAGGCATTATAATACAATCATTAAGACACTTTAGAAGGAAATTTAGTAGAGGATTTATCTCTATCATTCCTGAGTGGGATACTACCTGCCAAGGGAAATGCCTACTAACAGACAAAGAAAGACAAGCAAACAGATTAACAACAATGAGTACACAACAAAGAAATTTTATAAACAATTACTAAGTACAAGAAATGATGGGCAAGATCAGTGTATTGTCTCATGTCTTTAATCCCAGCACTAAGAAGGCAGAGGCAGGTATATCTGCCTCTGAGTTGAATACTACTATCCTAATCTATGCAATCAGTTCGTGGACAGTAAGAAGTAAATATTAAAAAGCCATCTCCCGTCTACAAAACAGCTTCAAGACAGCCAGAACTACACAAACCTTGTATCAACAACAACAACAACAAAAACCAATAAAATAAAATAAAATAATTAAGCTAGTAAAATGGCTTAGCATTGAATTGTTACATCTTATGTGATTTAGTGATACAACAATGGTGAAGTCATGACAGCACAAAAAGCTGACTGATCAGTTTCAACTATTACACAAAAGAAATTCAAAAAATAAAATCATCATGCTATCAAAATGGCTTAGCATTCAATAGAAATTGTTTCAGCTGTGTCTTTTATGATTTACAGATAGAATTTATAATAATGCTGAAGGCATGACAGCAAAGGAAGGAAACGGGTTGATAAGTTTCAAACACAACATAGTAGACACAAAGAACAAAAAATGGGTTGAGGCTAGAGACACTCAAATCCCACTTCTAATGAGGAGTTTCCTCCAGAAAGGATTCTCATACTAATGGTTCCACAAGCACTCCAAAGAAAGCCATCAAGGAGATAGAAATTTAGTCATTCAGTCAACTAAATTCTGAGCCTTGTCACTATAGGTTCATCCATGGATATCAATGAAGAAAATGCATTTAGTCACCACAATGATACTCATAGACTGTAGCAACCACTACACTGTTCAAATGTCTCTTTTGACACTCAAGACTGTGTTATCTTTTAAAACAAGAATAGTTGTATCTTTTAAATAGACAATGGCAGAGAATATTCCGAAGGAGAGGAACTGAGACATGGTAAGAAAAGACTAGTCCAAGGTAAGAATGAAACCATTAAATCCAGTAACTCTGTGTCAGACACACAGGGTTTTAGTTTCAAATGGCTAAGATGGCCCTATCCTCACAACTTTGCATATATCTTTTTCTCTTTCTTTACTTCCACTCCAGATATACGGTTCTCCATAAGATGTTTCATAGCTTAAATATCTCACCATCTTATGGTCTCAAAAATACAACCCAGGCGTCTTTATCACAGTATCAGGCAATGAACTCTAAGAGTCTCCTCAGTGGAGCTCAGACTCTACCAGACACCTACAAAAGTGCTGAACTGAAAAAAGGAAAGAAAGAATGTATGGCCTTAAATTTTGCATCTTTTTGTTTACAGAACCAGTACAACATCGATGATTTCCCCATATTTGGCTTCTAAGTTGTGATAGACCTTGCCTTGCTTAGACCAGAGTTGCAGCAAGCTTCCTATGAAGTTGCATCTGGAGACTAGGAATTACTTTACCTAATTCTTCCATTAACTGAGGGCATAGAAAAATAAACTCTTACACTTTGGCAGCTTGCTAGGCTATCAATATAGACTGTGGTTTTCCCTATAATGGTGATGATTTCCCTGAAAATTTCTGCCACTGTTCAGCCCTTGACTGCCACCTGGAACTACCTGTTTTTCTCTACAACCCAGAGACATTATTTATTTATGACCCAACTGTTGCTTTTTTTCACTGTCGTCCTGAATGAATCATAAGTAATAGCCATCCTAGAGATTTAATATTTTATCTAAGAAACCAGATCTTTTCTTTAGAGAAGCTTCTCGGTTTTAACAGGTCCCATTTATTATTTCTATCAGTGTCTCTGCTACTGACATTATATTTAGGAAGTAGTCTCCTGTGCTAATGTGTTCAAATGTAGTTCCTGCTTTCTCTTCTATGAGGCTCAGTGTGATTAGTTTCATGTTGAAGTCTTTGATCCATTTGGACTTGAGTTTTGTGTATGGCGATAAATATGGATTTATTTTCATTCTTCTACATCTGATATCCAGTTATGTCAGCAACAATTATTAAATATGCTTTTTTCCATTTTATATTTTTTGCTTTATTGGCAAAACTCAGCTGTTCATAGGTATGTGGATTAATATCTGTGTCCTTGATTGGGTTCCATTGAACCTCCTGTCTCTTTTTATGTCAATACCAGGCTATTTCCAGTACTGTAGCTATGCAGTAAAGTTTGAAGCCAGGGATTGTGATGCCACCAGAAGTTTCTTTATTGTACATCATTGTTTGTGCTATCCAGGGTTTTTACTTTTCTATATGAAGTTGAGTACCATTCTTTTGAGGTCTGTGAAAATTTGTGTTGGGACTTTGGTGGGCATTGCATTGAATCTGTAGATTGCTTTTGAAAAGACTGCCATTTTTCCTATGCTAGTTGTACCTACCCAAGATCATGAGAGATCTTTACATTTTCTGGTGTCTTCTTCAATTTCTTTCTTCAAAGATTTAAAGTTCTTGTCATACAGATCTTCCCTTCTTTGGTTAGAGTTACCCTAAGACATTATTTATTATTTGAGGCTCTTGTGAAGGTAGGCATTTTTCTAATTTCTTTCTCAGCTCATTTATCACTTGTACAAAGGAGGGCTACTGTTTTTTTCTTTTTTCTTTCTTTCTTTTTTTTTTAAACTTAATCTTGTTTCCTGGTACACTACTGAAGGTGTTTATGAGTTGTAGAAGTTCCTTGATAGAATTTTTGGGGTCAATTATGTAAACTATCATATCAAATAGTGAGAGTTTGCCTTCTTTTCAATTTGTATCCCGTTGATCTCTTTTTGTTGTCTTATTGCTCTAGCTAAGAATCTCAAGTACTATATTGAATAGATACGGAGAGAGTGAACAACCTTGTCTTGTTCCTGATTTGAGTTTCTCTCCATTCAGTTTGATGTTGGCTGTTGACTTGCTGTATAATGTCTTTATTATGTTTAGGTAAATTGGGAGCATGGGCATCATGGGAGAAGATAGAAAGGGAGGGAGGAGGAAAGGAGAGGAGTGGAGAAAATATATAGATTAATAAAACATTAAAAAGAAAAATTCCCTTTACCACATAATAATCAAAACACTAACCATGCCAAAAAATAAACAACATAACAGGAATTAATCATCATTATTTCTGATATCCATAGTCATAGAAAACAAATACTTCTAATGGTCTTCCTTTTCTTTAACAAAAAGAGTATTAAAAGCTGCAAAGTAAAAAAAAAAAATCAAGAAACATACAATGGCACACCTATGAGAATTACATTTGACTTCTCAATGTATTCTAAAAGCCATCAGGGCTTGGACTCATGGGATGTAGGTTCTAAGAAACCATGGATGTCAGCACAGATTACTATAATCAGAAAATTTTCAATCACCATAAGTGGAAAAAATATGATATTTAATGATAAAGTAAAAATTAAACAATATCAATATATAAATCCAGTTCTACAGAAGGTATTAAAGCCAAAGGTCCAACCCAAGGAAGCTAATTACACATGTGAAAACACAGGAAATAAGCAATCAAACGGAAATTCATTTTATGATGCCACAGAATATCCATAAATTCAGGCTTTTGTATATAAATAATCATAGATGATTCATATCGAATGCTACTATCTATGTTAAACCTGAGACAGGAGACAGTGGAAACAAAGGTTTCCGGAATTGCACCTAACAATATAGAGATTGCCTCAGGTAGACAGACTCTGAGAATTCCAATTTCAGGTATTCATTGCCTCTAGTACCTCTACTTTAGGACTTTGAGATCATTAAACTAATTCAATACAGAGATCCAGTGTTGTGACAAATTTTATAAAGAGAGTTACAGACTAATTTCCCTCTTGAATATAAATTCACAAATATTCAAATACTTGCAAAGAGATTCTAAGAACACATCAAAAAGTCATCTAAACTCATCAATTAGGCTTCATCCCAGATAGGCAGTTGGTGTAGAAGGGTCTTTCGTCTATGTGTTACTTTTATTTGTTAAATAAAGAGATTGCCATGACCTTTTGATAGGGCAGTCCTTAGGTGGGTGGAGTAGATAGAACAGAATGCTGGAAAAAAGACAGTGTGGCAGACGTCTTGCTTCTCCTGCCCAAGATGGATGCTGGTTAGACTCAGGCTGGTAAGCCACAGTCAAGTGACGATACATATTAATGGAAATGGGTTAAATCAATATGTGAGAGTTAGCCAATAATAGGCTAAAACTAATGGGCCAAACAGTGTTTAAATGAATATGGTTTCTGTGTAATTATTTCGGGTAAAGCTAGCTGGGTGGCTGGGATGAAAAGCAGCCCACTCGCCCACTTTACAATAGGCAGTAAAGGTTCAACATAAAAAAAAAATCAGTAAATGCAATCCACCATAAAAATAAATTGAAAAAAAAAATAGAACAAAATCAAACATAAAAGTCTTGCAGAGTTTAGGGAAACACAGTACATATATACACATAATAAAGAAAATTTACAGCAAAACTATAGCCAACATTAAACTAAATGTAGAGAAACTCCAAGTAAGTCCAATTAAAACTGGGACAAGGCAAGGCTTTGACCTCTCTATATCTACTCAATATAGTACTTGAAGTTCTAATTAGAATAATAAAAAAAATAAGGACACCAATGGGATATAACTTGTAAACAAAGAAGTCAAAGTCTTTTTATTTGTAAATGGTATGATAGATTCATAAGTGACCCTAAAAATTGAACAAAGGAACTATAATTAATAAAACACTTTCAGCAAAGTGGCTGGATATAAGAGTAACTAATAAATATCAGTAGCCCTCCTAT